CAATCCTGGGAACTATATTATCCCCATTTTACAGATGAGGTAACTGAGGCAAATAGAGGTTAAGTGACTTGCCCAGGGTCACACACCTAGCAAGTACTTGTAGCAATATTTGAACTTAAGGCTTCTGGACTCCCAGTCCAGTTCTCTACTGGACCACCTAGCTGCTATAATAGAGTAGTTATAAGAGGAAGAGTCTGCAACTATATATTAGAGAAAATGCTAAAGATTCTTCTTCCTTTTTCCCCCCTCTCCCCTCCCCCCCATTAGAATATAAGCTCTTTGAGAGCTGAGATTTTTTTTTTCTTTGTATTGCTAGCACTTATCATAGTGCCTGAAGCTTAGTAGGAGTTTCATAAATGCTTGCGGATATGGAGTGGGAGGGCTGATGATGCATCTCTCTTCTTACTATTAAATAAGATGATAGTGAATCTCTATTCTTTCTCTTAGCACAGTGCCTGGCAGATAGTAGGGGCTTCATAAATGCTTGTTTCTTCCCTTCTGACTTAGAACCCTTCCATCACTGAAAATAACTTGACTGTTTTTTAGGTTCCTGGCTCAGGATTTCAGCAGCCAAGCACTCTTGGCTTGGGATAACTTTGGTTATCCCAAATAGTCTGAGTTTTCATTTATGTGCCTTCCGAATCCTTGTTATTTGAATAACATGCTGTATGAGTCTTTGATCTATATGTTCACAGTTGGAGAAGTATTCTTATTTCTGTATTCTAGGGATAGACCTCGGCATTGCTAGTGATGGGATCTGGTGATTCACCCTTCCTACATGAATCAACACTCACTGTAGCTTGGAACCTAGTCTCTGAATGTGGAGAAATGTGATTGGGAAAAACCCCCCAAAAACCATAAAACCTTGATCCTTCCTTGGTAACACTACATAAGGGTTGATTGCTATGACATATATTTTCAATTTCTTATGCCAAGGGGAAATCACAAACAAGAGGACTAAACACACAGAGTTCAAATCCAGCCAAGTAAATTACATGAGGAAGGAAGCTTCATTCTGGCTCCTTGGTGAGTGTGACTGATGAATGGAAAATAAGATGCTCTGTTTAGCATCTAAATCTTCCATGGATATTAGGCAAAACACAAGAAGGCATCTGCCCATAATAACTTTTCCTTATGGTCATACTTTTTTTCTTTTCAAGAAAAAAATTTAATTCCAAGCTCCTAATATTATTTAGGAAAAGGGGGAGGAGATTACATCAGTTACTCTCATAACCATTTTCTAGGGGGCAGAAACTCCTTAGTTTAGTTATTAAGAGGATTTATTCTGTGAAGATTGGATTCAGTCAAAAGGCCATGGTTGAGGACCTAGAGGGCCACATGTGGCCTTGAGGCCGAAGGTTCCCACCCCAGGTTTAGCCAGTCAACAAGCATTTCTTGAGTGTTAACCAAGTGTCATGCTCTGGGCTAATGTGGTTCCTGCCCTCAAGGACCTCACACTCTGTTGGGGGAGACAACACCCAAACAATTATTTAGGTTTATACCAAATAGATGGAAAACAGTCTCAGAGGGAAAGCATTAGTGGTGGGGAAGATAGGGAAAGGCCTCCAACAGATGATGAGATTTGAACTGCTTGAGTTTGGTAGAGACCACCTTTTCTATAGCAAGTTGAGAGGGGCCTTTGGTGAGTCAATGACTCCTAACTGACCAGGCAGGGTCTTCAGAGGCTGCTATGCTTGACTAGGCTTTTGAGTCTCAATTTGATCAACCAATTAAAGGTTGGCCTCTGACTTAGATCAACTTGGTCAACAAAGAGGAACTCTGCCTTCAGAGCTCTTCAAACCTGATTGTCCAGCATTTAAAACCAAGAAGGAAGCATGGAGTTTGTGGCTACTTTTCCTTTACTTTTGTTATTCAGTGGTTTCTGACTCTCTGTTGACCCCATTTAGGGTTTTCTTGACAAAGATACTGGAGTGGTTCACCATTTCCTTCTCCAAGAGCTCATTTTACTGATGAGGAAACTGAGGCAAACTGGGTGAAGTGACTTGCCCAGGGTCACACAGCTAGTAAGTATCTGAGGTCACATTTGAACTCAGGAAGATGAATCCTCCTAACTCTAGGTCTGGCACTGTATCACTTAGCTGCCCTGTTACTTCTCTGTAAGGTATCAAAATTGTAGTGCTTAAGTACTACGAGGCAAAGATTGTTTCATTTTTTTTTCTTTGTATCTTCCACACCCACAGAACCTGGCAGTCAGTAAGTGCTTAATGAAGACTTGTTGAATTTCATTGAGTTGAATTATTGAAATGTGCATGGACCTTATCATATCTTCTGGTTAACACACGGATGTGCTTCTTCTTACCTTCTCAAACTGCAATCATACAATAATTAAATATTGGGAGTCAAAATCAATTTTCAAACTTCCATCAAATCCTTAAACAATGTGCATATTCTCTATCACTAAATAGTTTGTGAATGAGCATTTAGATGCTTACTACTACCAGGCAGAGGGCTATGTACCAGGCAAAAAAGCAGTCTCTGCTCATAGGGTGCTCACAGTCTAGTGAGGGAGACAATATGCAAACCTCTTTGTACAAACAAGATACATACATATATGTACATATATATGAACATATGAGATAAATTGGAGACAATCAACAGAGGGAGGGCACTAGCATTAACTGGGATCAGGAAAGACAGTGAGATACTAACTGGGACTTGAAGGAAGCCGGGAAGTGGGGATGAGGAAGGAAAGAATTCCAGGTATGGAAGATAGCCAGTGAAAATGCCCAGAGTAGGGAGATGAAGGGCCTAGAGAGAGGAACAACCAGAAGGTCAATGTTATCGTGTTGAAGAGTACATGGCTGCGAATAAAGTGTGAGGAGATTGGAGGGGACCGTATTATGAAGGGCTTTGAGTGCCAAAAAGAGGCTTTTATATTTGATCTTGGGTCAGACCTGTACTTTGGGAAAATCAGTTTGACAGTTCAGTGCAGGATGGACTGGAGTGGGTAGAGACTTGAGGCAAACCAACCAGCAGGGTATTACAATAGTCCAGGCAAGAGGTGATAAGGGACTGGACCAGGGTGATGGCAGTGTCAGAGGAGAGAAGGGGGTAGATACTAAAGATGTTAAGAAGACTTGGCAGCAGATTGGATATGGGGGAGTGAGAGAGAATGAGAAATTGAGGATGACTCCTTGGTTGGGAGCTTGGGTAATCGAGAGGATGGTGGTAGCCTGGACAGTAATAGGAAAGTTTGGAAGAAAGGAGGGTTTTGGGGTGAAAGTTTAGTTTTGGACTTGTTGGTGTTTGTGGAATATTCAATTTGAGATGTCCAATGGGCAATTGGAGATATGAGGCTGGAGGTCAGGGGGGAAGTTAGGGCTGGATAAGATCTGAAAATTATTATCATAGATAGAGATAATTGAATCCATGGGAGCTGTCGAGATCACCAAGTGAATGGTAATCAGGGAGAAGAGAAGAGGGCCCAGGGCAGAGCCCTGTGGTATACCCACCATTAGTAGGTGACCTGAATGAAGATCTAGCTAAGGGGACTGAGAAGGTTCAATCAAATAGGTAGGAGGAGAAACAGGAGAGAGCAGTATCACAAAAACCTTGAGAGAAGAGGGTGATTTATAGTGTAAAAGGCTGCAGAGAGGTTAAAAAGGTTAAGAATTGAGAAAAGGCCATTAGATTTGAATGAGTTCTCTGAGGTCACGGCAAGATTCAAACCCAGGTCCACATCATCATGCAGTCTCAAGTTAAAAAACTAGTCCACCATGATGCAGTAACTCAAGCCCAACAGGCTATTTCCTTGGGCAACTCCTAGAATTTGCACTTCCATCTCTGGGACCCTGGGCTCTGAGTGATTATATTCACCCTGTCTTGCTTAGATGCAGGCACTACATCTCAGTGCCAAGCCATGGGGTGAATACAACTCTTTTTAACTGCCCTCGTTCCCCCTCCCCTAGCTCTGAGAGCTACAATAAAATCAAACTACCAGTCCTCAAAAAGTCCTATCAGTCAATTACCTTAAAACTTCAATCACCATTCCCTCTCACTTTCTTTTCCAAAACACTCCTCCCTGGCCCCACCTCAGAGGGTTATTGTGAAGCATAATATACACAAAATGTTTTGCCACCCCTAAAGAGCTGAATAAATTCTACTATTATTAGTTAACACGTAATGATTTTTTTTCATGCATTTATTCATTCAACAGAGAGTTTATTTGACAGAACAACTTCAAAAAGCTTCCTTTTGCCACTTTGCTATCAAAGAAAGGGGGCCCTCATCATTCTTGTAAGTTCAAGCTTCAGTCAATCAAGCAACAAACATTTATTGTGCTCCAGGAACTGTGCTAAATGGTGAGTTACAGAAAGGCAGTCCCCACCATTAAAATGAAACAAAACAAAAACCCCTCAAAACTCAAATCTCTCAATTTGAGAGGACTCAGATCTTTAGTTTTCATTTTCAGCCTCAAAAACCAGTTCCTTCCCTACACTCACGGGATTCTTAGATAAAACCACTTCCTTATTGTCAGTTTCACTTTCTCCTATATCTCCAGTAGCTCCTGGACCAAACTGCACACAGGCCAGGCTTTTTTGGCCTGAGGATGCTGCTTCCGAAACTAACTCCATTCAATCTTCCCCTGAGTTTTTCAACAACTTACTCCCTACATTTCTTTTAAAGAAACTTATATTATTGGTTCTGATTAAAAATAGACGTATTTATTTTAAAAAACCCTCAGGCTAAATGACCAATTTACATAATAAAATTCTACATGAAACCTAGAAACGGGTGCCCCAATGCATCGGGGCAGGATGCACTCCAGAAAGAGTGGAGTGAGTGGAGGAGCTGGGATCTCCCCAGCTTGCCCTTCCGCAGGGCTGTTACGCAGGCTGCCCGGGGCTGTTGAGGCGGCTGCAGGTGGACAAGAGGGGCCAGGGCCACATTCCTGCCGCTGCAGGCGCTGCACCCAGAGGCCTGCCCGCAGTCACGGGACTCGGGGCTCGCAGGGAAAAGCTTTTTCTTGGCGGTGCTCCAGAGGCAGAGAACAACCTGGCCCGGGTGCCCGCACTCCTGAGCTGCTGCTGTCGCCCCCGCCGCGGCTGCTGCCGCCTCTGCATCCAGTGCACGCGCGGCCGCTGCCGGGCCTCTGTACACGCGTGCTCCAAGGTGCGTTTGTAGCGGAATCCGGGTGGTGGTGGGAGGGCCGGAAGCCTGGGGAGCAAGATAAGAGCCAGGCCTTCAGTGGGGACGGGATCAAAGGATGGTAGCAGTATTCTAAAATGGGAAGAAAAGACTCCCCTTCTGCAGTGGTGCTTACAAGTCAAGACATCACCTGTGATGTCATTGGTCCTCTTCGGAAAACGGAGGAACAACATGCATTCCATGCATTAAGCACCTACTGTGTGCATAGTAAGTACTAGAATTAGTGAAAAATGAAACAATCCCTTCTGTCTAGGAGCTGACATTCTATGTGGGGTTGGGGAGGAGGGAGGACGCATTTATATTGAAAGTACCCCAGAACTTCAGCAAGACTTGAAGTGCCCTTGCAGATTTCAGTCCCTGGGTTTTTACAGAACAGGCTAAGGCCCAGCCTGCTGAAATGACTGACCTTCTGGGGCAAGCCCAGATCCCGTGACTCCTAGTGTTAAAGTATTATTCATGGCTTGTAGGAAACGTCTTACTTAATCCCCCTCCACCCAGTCCCCAGAGAGATGAAGTATAACGGAACCCTCCGAACAGTAATACAACTAAGACCCCCGGGGGTGGGGGCGGGGGTGGAGGCAGTTTAAGCAAAATTTCTTAAGAATGAGGTAGGGGAAGCAATTGGTAGCCTCTCTCCTTTCTCCACAAATGATCCTTCCTTTCAAGAATCCACTTTTAGATATCTCTTTGACACTTAACTTCTACTTGTGTAGTTATCACATGTACCCCGGTTACATTATAGCCTCCTTGAAGTAGAAATCATATTTTATTTCTTTGTCCTGCCTCTATAACCTAGGAGAGTGCTTTGTTCAGAGCAACAACTTTATAAATTAGGTGGGGCAGCGGACAGGGCTCTGAGCCTGGATTCAGGAAGATGTGAGTTCAGATATGACCTCAGATACCTACCAGCTGTGTGACACTTAATCTTCAGGTTAAGTATATGGCATTTGCTTCCGTTTCCTCAACTGTAAAATGGGGATCTTAACAACACTTACCTTCTAGAGTTGTTTTGAGGATCAAATGAAGTATTTCTAAAGTACTTAGCACAGGGCCTGGCACTTAGTAGGGCCTATAGAAATGCTTATTCCTTTCCTCTTCCCCCATTTGTTGAATTGTGTCTTCATCCCTCTGTCCCAACCACCCTCAACCATTTTTTCCTCATTCCTCTGTCTCTCATCCTAGAGTACCTAGGAAACTGAAGAGACATTAACAAAGGAATCCTTTATTTATGTACAGACAACATGGGGAAGGGCATATTTGAGAGTTTTCCTACTCAGACGAATTTTTTAGGGGAAGAACTCTGGATTTGCAAGGGTTCAGAGGATTTGGCAGGCTGGCTCCAGCTGATCTGGAGACACACAATTACTAACTGTTTAAATGTAAGCAAATCAGTTGGGCCTATGATTTCTTATCTCTAAAATAAGAGTTTGCTAAGAAGGATTCCTTTTTTCAGGGAACTCATCTTATAGTAGAAAGAGCACCAGCTCAGAGTCAGAGTCCTGTCTTTGATGCTTACAACCTGTGTGATCTTGGGCAAAATGATTTCACCTCCTCAGGCCTCAGTTTCCTCCTCTGTAAAACAAGGGAGTTGGACTTGATGGCTTCTGAGGTCTTTTCCTGTTTTTAATCTAGGATTCTATTGTTCTAGCTTATTATTTTATGATTTTAACATTTTACTTCCTATATGTAGAACTATGTTACTTATGGTGCTGCACAGGCTAACCAGAAGTAGCTTATTTACTGATCTACTAAAGTGGATTAATTGACACCTTGTGTGAACGTGGACAAATCACTTTTTCTCTGTGAGGTTCAGTTTCCTTATCTGTGAAATAGTGGGGTGGGAAGGCAAGGTCGTTGGACGACATGCTTTCTGAGGGCCTCTACACTTCTAAATCTCTGACTACACTATCTAGTGATGCCACATAAGGTAGGGACAGTAGAGAAATCTGAATTGGTTGTTGGTGTATCAGAGGGAAGCTTTGGGGAAAGAATCTTCAGCAGGAGAAAGGTGGCTTTGCTTTGAGTTTCAGCTATGCCATTGGCTAGCCTTGTGGGTCAATCTCTAAGCCTTACTTTATTCAAGTAGAAAATGGAGATTATACTGTTTCTGTGAAGATGCCTTGTAAAGCATCTAAGTGTGAACTCTGATTATTTACCTGATAGAGATGAAAAGTATAAACTTAGCATTTTTGTGAATTGAATTATATTTTAAATGAGGATGGGAGTCTGGGCTATTTAAAGGAATGTATTTGGTGACTTAGCAAAGTGAATGATCACTCCTAATTTAAATATGTTTGTTTTATCTGTCTTAATTTTTCCATACACAGGGTGGCCCAAAAGTCTTAAGTCTGTTACAAGCTGTTCAAGTAGCACTAATACTTTTGGTTCACTCTGTGTCACTTAATTTAAAGGGAGGAAGATTTATAACACTTACCTGCTTATGTTTTCCTTTTACCCCACTAATTTTGAACTGTTAACAAATAATCACCACAATGCTATGCAGTCATATTAGCTGACATTTATATGATGTTTTAAAGTGTGTAAAGTACTTTACAAACATTATCTCATTTGTTCTTCATATCAATCCTATTGTCCCCTTTGTACTTTTGATTTGATATCCTTCAGGGGCCTCTCCTAGTCTAGCTCATTGCTCAGGCCCTGGTGGGAAGCCAAGGGCACTTCAGTATCTGGGACTCCCCCAAGTGTAGTTAGTGGCTCTCTTAACATACTTATGTTGACAAGGCTTCAAAACGCAACAGTTTTATTTATAGAGCAAAAGACATATAAAATATTCATTTTCAACTTTGCAGAGATTCAAGAGGCTACCCTCTTGCCCTCTTGCTTCATAGGAGCTGTGCATATAGTGTGACCTCAGGTCATTAAGGGGAAGGCTGAAATTTGCTTCTCCTTCTTGGTTCTCTGAATCTTACAGATCTTCCCCTGACAAATTCTCTCTTCTTGGTGTTCTAACACTGTGTTATTGCCAATAGGTATAATAGGTCCTTCTTGCCATTTAGACCTGCTTCTCAACCCAAAGCTATTTGGCTCCATTCCAACAAATAGTGCCAGCTTTTGAACATTTGGAATTTGGAGAGGATTGCAATGGTGCCTCAAGTAAAAGTGTTATAGCTCTGTCCTTCCCCTAGAATGAAGGTGCTAACCTTGGATCCATGGACTCTTGAGTGATCTGTAGATAGACTTTATTTTAATTGGTTTTCTTTATAAGCCTACGCATTTTTTATGCATTAAAAAACATTATTTTGTGAAGAGGTATATAGGCTTCACCAGACTGCCAAGTGGTTAAGAATCTCTGCTCTCAAATATTAATTTCCTCCAGCCTATTGAAATCTTCTGCCCATTTATTTCTTCATCCCGCCACTCCACCCTCAGAGCCTTTTAGGTGGTTGTGGGAATATCTGAGCCAAACCAATAGGTTTTCTTCTTTGGGTTGACTCATGACAGTTTGGTAGTACTTTACTGCCTTCCTCCCTCAGTGCCTGGAGAGTGTGCCTTCTGCTTGGATTATCCTTCCCAACTGAGTCTTTTGGTGATGGACAAGCCATTCCCACCTTACTTTCCATGTGTTTTTTTCTTCTCCCATCATCCTCTAATATAACCAGACTACGTTATGTAAATTGCCCTGGATGGTTTCTCCAACATATCTGGGCATCACTTCTCTAGCAAGTGTCTGTGACTCAAGTGCAGACAGATGAGGAAATTGTGTCTCAGACAGATTGGGTGACTTGCCCACGGTCATAAGCTAGTATGTGTTAGAGCCAGATAGTTGATTCTAGGTTCGGTCCTCTCTTCCATTAGCTATGCTGCCTTTCTAAGTGAATGAATGTTGAGTTAAAAATTCTGTGATTTTACCAAATTGGTTTATATCAAGGTTGTATATTAGAATGTAGGCTCATTAAAGGCAAGGATTTCTTTTTTTGTTTGTTGTTTATTTGCTTTTAACAGCAACTAGTACAATGGCCGTTACAGTGTTTAATAGGTGCTCATTGAATTGAATGAGTTATCCTAGAATATAGATTACATCATTAAAGTAAGATCTCACTGAAAGCCAAAAATGTATTGGTAAAACTAAATAAAGGCAGATAGGTGGAGCAGTGAATAGAATTCTAGGTCAGGAGTTAGGAGGATTTGAGTTCAAACTTGGCCTCAGAAACTTGCTAGCTATGTGACCCCGGGCAAATCACTTCACCCTGTTTGCCTCAGTTTCCTTATCTATAAAATGAACTGGAGCAGGAAATGGCAAACCACTCCAGTATCTTTGCCAAGAAAACTCCAAATGGGGTCACAAAGAGTCAGACAATAAAAACAACATACACTAAATAATGGCACCACTTATCAGATATATTCAAGTTTTATGCAAGCTAGGTTAAAGGCTAGGGGTAGAAAATGTGGCCTATGGTCAGACCAATATTGAATGTTGTCTGGGCTAAGGATTTATTGTTCCTGAAATTATAGACTATTCCAAGGAACTCTCCTTACCCAAGAGAGTTTGCTTGTGATTCTTTGAATATCCTTTCTCTTTGGCAATTTAGTTGTAAATTCTAGCTCTTTGTCTTTCCTCTTCTCTTCCGGTATAGCAGGATTTGGGGGTGATTGAGGAGGGCACAATTTCATTCTCTAATGCCATGGTCTTGGTTCTCTACCACTCACTTGCTTCAGTGAAAGCCCTGAATGAGGCTGCCATATTTTTCCACCATTCATTCTGGGAACCTAGTGTCTTTCATTTGCATAAATTTGAGATCACAGAGCATAGACTTTTGGCGATGGAAGGGATCTTTGAGATCATGTTGTTTTTTAAATACATATTTTAAACAATATTTTTGCATGCATGTTTAAATAATTTTGCATGATGATGTCTAAACAATCAAAACTGCAAAGTGAGTAAAAGTAAAACAAAATAAAGTTATGCTACGTGCTTTAGCTGTTGTGAATGGTTGGATTGGATA